AAGATAGTGAAAGAAATAAGTATAAAAAGAAAAAGGGTAAGCTAATAATAATATTACTAATATTTCTATTGCTTCCTTCAACACTTGTTTTAGTATTAACAATTTTAGGGTGTGAAAGGTTTGTTTCCTTACTAGGATGGCTGCTTTGGGTTACAGACGGTTTCTAGAAATTGGTTCATTAGTATGTAATGATCATTAGTAAAACTAACACATTTATAACATTTACCAATATTTCATTAATGCTAGGTAAGGAATCTTCTTCTGTCAAATTTGAAGGAACTCTTTTTATGAAGTTGTTAACAGGTTCATTGTTGGCCTTTAGATAATACAAAATGGTTTAGAAATATTAAAATTGATGATGAAGATTGTAAAGTATATTGAGTATATCATAATCATGTAATATTTATTCACCTTATCAACTTTTTCAATTTTAGAATTATTTTTTTCAATTTTATTTTTTAAAGCTTTAAATTGGTTATTTATTTGGAATTTGTACTTATCGCCAGAGTACTTTTCGTTAATCTTGATGTTATCTTATTAAATCTTTGTTTATCTGCTTCTTCTGTTGAGTCATAATACTCATCAGATTGTGGGTTATCGTATTCTTTTTAATTTTAATTATTAAGTTATTTTCATTGTAGTTATTAACAAATGAACATGGGGTTGATTCTATAGTGATAATTATAAACAATAAAATAAGATACGTTTTCTAATTTCAATATATTTAAAGAATAATTAGTCAAAAAAATAAAACTTGTCACCATCAAGACAAAAATAACCAAAATCATCATACTCACCATCAATCTTAATTTTATATTTTAATTTTTCGAGTTTTCAATATCATTTAATTTTTTAATTAGTAATTTCTCTACATGTAATTATTAGTAATTTCTCTACATGTAATTTTACCTGAATACTAGAGTTCAAATCTTGTGTTTCATTTCCTTGATCATTCTCGATAGCATTAAATGATTGGTTCTAAAAATTTTCATTAAATGATATTTATATTAAATTGACAAACAAATTTTAAATACTTACATCACTTTCTTCATAGTTTAAGGGTTGGGCTACAGAGTCCAAATCTTGAATATCATTTCCTCGATCTTTCTCGATAGCATTATCCTAAAAATTTTTATTTTAGGTACTAAATGATAGCTATATTAAATTGCTAAATAAATTTTTAATACTTATATCGCTTTCTTTATGGTTTAAAGATTGGTCTACAGAAACAGAAGCTTCTGAATTGTCTAAAGAACTTGATTTTTTATTTGTACAGTCTTTCTCTATTTCAAAACTAGAACTTTGAGTTGCACTTT